ATAAATTTATGTAATGTCTATAGACTGATGCCAGTGAAGATAATTAACATGCATCTGCTTATATTATGCTGTCCTTTATGTCACCTTTCTGCTTTGTATATTTTCTTCTGGTTTTGTTATGTCTTGAAGTAATTTTTAGCACTGTTCTATGAATTTTTCACTACTTACCTTGCCTAAACTTTGCTGGTTTTATTTTTCAGCTTCTGAGATACTAGAACAACTTGTCAAATCCTTTAAAACTAAAAAACCCTACCATTAGTTTTTATAGATATTTGTTATCAATAAATCAATTTGATATGCAGATGTTAAGAAATGAGTGGGATAAAGAATTAGAGGTTCCTGTATTGGCTAGACAATGGGAAAGTGTTTTAACTTCTACAGACCTCAAATTATGACTTATACAACAAAGAATAATATTTACAAGTTTATTGGCTTTATTAGCAAATATAGTGTTCTTTTACAAATACTGGCTTGGAGTGCAATGCTCTATGAGCTCTCAGTGTACTCCAAAGCTTTCCACTAGCGCAGGATGTTCACACCCAGGACTTGCAACAGAGAATCTACCAAAAACAATGACAGCAGCCAGGGCAACATATACCTTGATTTAGCCTGAGACACACCTTGCCCCTACTTTTGCAGGACAAGAAACTGCAGCCCCTCCCTGCTGCACTAACTGTTCAATGCAAAGATTTGGGTTGGGGATGGAAAGAGGGAAAGAAAGAGGGTGGGGAGAAAGTGATTGAAATAATCAATCTGTTATTTTCAGTCACATTCCCTGGAGCAAATATAAACCAAGAGTAATTTTTCTAACTGCTGCCCAGAAAGTTAGTATGACATTCTTCCTGATAATTACACATAGAATTACAGTCCCTGTTGTACTTTTACAACCCTTTTAGAAGAGGCAAATAATCTTTTTTGGGACTGGGTGCTATAGTTTCTGAGGGGGAAAAAGCAGACTCTAGAAATCACAAGGACATGTGATACAGAGAATTTACTACAGAAGGCCGGGGGGGGGGGGGGGGGGGCAAACAGAAAAAGGGGACTTAGCCCTCCAAAATTTTTTTTTAAAAAAAAA